ACCTCCGGGGCAGGCAGGGATCGAACTCATGCGGAAGTGGCTTTAGCTTCTTAGTGCAGTGCTTAACTTGCTGCGCCACCAGGGAGGGCCTGATGTTACCTTTCTTAATTTTGCTTTGTTTGATCCTTATATGTTATTTTCTTTCCTTCTTAGAGACTGCTTACTGTTAAGCTTTCTGAATTCTTGCATGTCTGAAAGATAACTTCCCTTTTTTTTTCTCTCATTTTTGATGAACAGTTTGGATGCAGAATTCTAAGCTCAGACTTTTTTTTCCATCCTAGAATTCTGATATTGCTCAATTTCATTTTTTAAAGTTTTATTTCTTTATGCATACAGAACTGGGGATACAGGCCAGAGGTGCAGGGCAATGAGAAGATTCACCAGAGTCAGAGTAGGGAGCAGAACAGGCAGATGGACAAAGTACACTGCTGAGGGGAGCAGCGGGAGAGACAGGTGAGGTCTACTGCACCATGTGGGTCACCTACAGGGACAGGATCTAAATGGCACTGAAGTGGCTGCGGCTCACTTCCAGTGCTGCACTTTAATCAATTTCATTCTAGCATCCAGTTTTGTCCACAGCAAGCCTGATTCTTTCCCTGGAGCCTGCCTGGTTTTCCTCTGGAACCCAGGAAGAGCCCTGCTTTTCCTCCTGCAGGGATAGAATGCTATAATCTGCTCATTCATGCTAGTAGGACCACACACTCTGGAGGCCAGTATTTTTCCTTAACTAAGGCATTTTTTCTTCTATTATTTCTTTGCCCCTTCACTTCCTTCATTATCTCTATCTTCTCCTCCTAGATCCTGTTAAATGATAGTGGACCACCTGGGCCTAATCTCTACATCTTGAAACATCTCTCTTATACATTTCTAACATTTTGTTCTCACTATAAGACATTTTTTCCCCTCAATTTTATCTCCTGGATCTGCAAATTGGTCCTCATCATGTAGTTAAACTATTCATTATGCTCTTTGCTAATTTCAAATACCTCATTGTTAATTTCCAAGAGTTTCCATTTCGATGAATGCTCCTTTCCTAATACTGTATTCTTATATCATAACTGGAAAAGCCTCTCAGCATTAAGGCTTGTATTAGAAAAATTAAAATAAACTGGAAGTTATTTGATTCTTTGGCACCGTACCCACACACATATGTTCAGTTTTGGAGTTCATCAGGCAGTTGTAGACTCTTACCATGTCACCGTTGGGGGTTTCTGTGAGGAGAATATCTTTGGTGGTCTCAAGATCTGCTTTACTAAGAAACTTTCCCCAGAAGTGTCTACTTTCTTGAGAGCTCTATGGCTTGAGGAGAAAATTAACTGCTACTAGTTGATCTGCTGATACAGGAAAATAGCTGTCGCAACTGCTCCTGACAACTGCACGGATCGGATCCACAAAATGCCTAAACAAACTGGCTCCATTTTGGCTTGGGCTACAGTTTTCATGGCTATAATTCTCCCGACCTGTGGCCTCCCAAATAGCCAAATATGTCTTCGGTGATGTCAATGAGTCCTGGGGGGGAGAAGGAAGGTTTATGTATGTACCAAGCCTTTCATCTTAAACTGGAAGCCCGCCTACCCACTGTCAGGCTTGTTTTGTGAAGGAGGTACCACACCATCTCCTGCCAGTCTGGGACTCTTCTCTGTGTCTAGCTGAACACCCCTCTGACACAGCCAAAGCCCACTTTTTCTTATTTGATCATCTATGGAGACATAGAGCAACAGACACTTCCTCATGTAATCCTTCAGCCACTTTATGCCTGCTTTTGTTCTTCTTAGTGTCTCTCCTTCACACTAGTAAGTAGAAATCTCAGTAACTAAAATTTACATTTAGATGAGACTGCAGAGGTAGTTCCAGTTATTCTTCAAATAATCCCCCCCTAGATTTACTAAAGCATGATTGGCAAACTGAATATATATTATGGCGTACAATGACATGCTTTTGTTACAGGGTAGACCAGAATGAAACTGGGCTGCCTGTCTGTGGGTCCTCACCTGCGCACTTGAAATTTAATTGTTCTGCAGGCACACACAAAAAAGGGTAATGGGTTTATTTAGAAAAGGGGAAAGAAAAAGGAACAACCCAGGGAAAGAGAGAGAGATACAAGGTAAGTAGAATATCTTACCAGCTCAGCTAACTTGGAGCTCTAGTCACAAACTAACTGCTAGCCCCCAATCACGCAGCCTGAGAGAAAGAGAGCCATTACCTCTCCAGAGCGATCATTGAAAAACTGCTCTCTATTTATCCCCCAAAGTCCCAGAATGCCTCTTAGCTCTGCCCTTGGGTCCTCACAGTCCACTCCTTGGTCTTGGTACTGCTGGGAGTTATAGTTTTCCAATCATTGGGGTAGGGGTTGGAATACAGAAAGCTGGAGTAGGGGGTGGAGTCCACAAAACTCTGCAGAGTTCCTTTAGGACTTCCTTCCCCTTAACACTTTGATATATATATATATTTCATGATGTGTGTGTGTGTGTGTGTATATATATATATATATACATACACATATACACATATACACACACACACACACACACACACATCATGAAATGAACACCACAATCAAGCCAATAAACATTTATCACCTCAGTCACCTTTCTTCTGTATATGGTGATACTCTCCTAACAAAGTTCCAGTGTATGATACAGTATTGCTAACTAATTACCATATGGTATATCAGGACTCCAGAACTACTTTGTCTTAAAACTGAAAATCTGAACACTTTGACCAACCTTTCCCTATTTTCCCTCCTCACCAGCTCCTGGTAACCAACATTCTACACTGTTTCTATAGTTTGACATATTTAGAATCCTCACAGAAGTAATATCATGCAGAATTTGTCTTTCAATGTCTAGATTATTTACATGCAGCATAATGCCCTCCAGCCTCATGTGTCATCATACATGACAAGACTTCTTTATTAAGAACAAATAATATTCTATCATATATATACATTGTCTTTATTCATTCACCCCATGACGGACACATCATTTCCATATCTTGGCTACTGTGAATAATGTTCCTATGCACATGGGAGTAGAGATATCTCTTTGAGAAAATTGTATTTCCTTTTGATATATATTCAAATGCAGGGCTGCCTTATTAAATGGTAGCTCTATTTTAAGTTTTTGAAGACCCTCCATACTGTTTTCCACAATGGCTGTACCAATTTACATTTTCACCAAATGTGTATTAAGGGCCCCATTTTCTCCATACACTTGCCAATAATTGTCATTTGACTTTTTGATGATAGTCATCCTAACAGTTGTGAGGTGTTATCTCACTGTCATTTTTATTTACATTTTCCTGATGATTAGTGATGCTAAACATCTTTTCATGTACCTATTAGCCATGTGTATGTCTTCTTTGGAAAAATGTCTATTCAGTTTCTTTGCCCATTTTAAAACAAAGTTTTCTTAAAACTATTGAGTTGTATGAGCTTCTTATATATCTTGGAGACTGATCAATTATCAGATATATAGTTTACAAATATGTTCTCCCATTCAGAAGGTTGCCTTTTCATTTTGTTGGCTTCCTTTACTGTGCAGACACTTTTCAGTTGGATATAATCTTATTGTTGCTTTAGTTGGCTGTGATTTTGGTTCCAAATCATTTGTCCTATATGTTTTATTCTAAAGAGTGTTAGGATTTCAGATCTTACATTTAAGTCTTTAACCCATTTTTTGTGTTTGTGTGTGTGTGTGTGTGTATGGTGTTAAGTGTCCAGTTTCATTCTTTGGCATGTGAATATCCAGTTTTCTCAGCAACATTTATTGAAGAGTTTATCTTTATCCAATTGTGTATTCCTGGCACCCTGGTTGGAGATTATTTCAGTGTATATGCATGGTTTATGTATGGGCTTCCTCTTTTCTTTCACTGGTCATTAAGTCTGTATTTGTTAGTACCATGCTGTTTTGATTACTACAGCTTTGCAATATACTTTGAAATCAAGGTGTGTGATGGTTTAGTTTTGTTCTTCTTGCTCAAGATGGTTTCATATGTTTGTGGTTGAAAAGAAACTTGATGTGATTTCAACCCTATGTGTACTCTCCTGAAAAAGAATGTGCATTCTACTGCTACTTTATGGACTGTACTGTATGTCTGTTGGGTTCATTTGGTTCAAAGTATAGTTGAAGCTCAATATTTCTTTACTGATTTTCTGGATATCCTATTCATTATTGAAAGTGATGTAGTGAATGCCATTAATTATCAGTTTCCTGTCGGATTCGCCTTTTTTAAATTCTCCAATGGAGTCTCTACAATTCTTCTACATCCTTTCCAAATCTAGTGAGTAATAAGTATTCAGAATTACAAGGCAGATAAAATTCAAAGGGCTTTAAAAAATCCCTGTGTGTTCTATTTCAGTCAATAGCAAACAAAGTATTTTGAACCATCCTTTACACAAGAACTAGAAATCCTGGGCAAAAGAAAACACAACAAAATCTCCTCCTTAATGGCATCAGAAAGTTACCAAGGTAGTGAAGAGGTTCAGCATCTGAGAGGAGGAAGCCTAAAAGATGAGTCTCATACAAGGTAAACTACATTTTCCCTAAAGGCACCTGGGAAGCTAAGTAGAGCATCTGGCAGACTCACAAAGAAGGAGTGTACGTGAGGAAAAACTGGAGTTCAGGACATTCCAAGGAAGAATACATAAATACTTTAAGTTTTAGGTTGGAACTCTAGGAGAAAGGACAAACAGACTATCCCTCACAGGAACTGGAGCCCAGCTTCAAATCAGCTTAGTTCCTGATTGCACTAAGATGATATTGAATTGCTAATGCTCTAGTCTAGCCACTCAACAGAAGTAAGTAATATCATCTCTGGAGGACAATAACTTCATTTAGAGCATTTCAACTTATCTCTATACTTTTCCACTGCTCATATCTACCACTCCGTTAAAAAAAAAAAAAATGCATAGATGGGGCCCTCCCTGGTGGCACAGCAAGTTAAAGCACAGCACTGGGAAGCTAAAGCCACTTCAGCTTGAGTTGGATCCCCACCCCAGTGGTGACCCAAATGGTGTGGCAGACCTCTCCTGACCTGCCTGCTGCTCCCCTCATCAGTGTACTTCATCAGTCAGCCTGTTCTGCTCCCCGCTCTGGCTCTGGTGAATACTCTTATTATTGCCCCTGCACCTCTGGCCTGTACCCCAGTTCTGTATGCATAAATAAATCTTTAAAAAATTACACTTTATAAAAAAATGCACAGATGAGAAATAATGAAGCTTGTAGAAAAAACACAGGAAATTAACTTCATGGCTGGAGGAACAATTTCTGAAACACAAAAATATACAAACCTGGACAGAAAAGGTCAATAAACTGGATTAAAACTTTCTGTTTTAGGGCCCTCCCTGGTGGCGCAGTGGGTTAAAGCACAGCACTGAGAAGCTAAAGCCACTTCCACATGAGTTCGATTCCCGCCTGCCCAGGAGGTGACCACATGGTGTGGCAGACCTCTCCTGACCCGCCCGCTGCTCCCCTCAGCAGTGTACTTTGTCGATCTGCCTGTTCTGCTCCCCACTCTGTCTATGGTGAACAACCCCCCCGAGCCTCTGGCCTGTCCCTCAGTTCTGTATGCACAAATCAATAAATCTTTAAAAAAAACTTTTTGTTTTAATCTAGTTAATAAGTGAGAGGGCAAGTGACAAAATGGAGAAGCTATTTTTTGTCACATATAATTAGCAAGATACTCTTATCGAGACTACATAAGGAACTCCTACAAATCAGTAGGAAAAAATGAGCAAGAGATCTGAGCAGGTCATTTGTAAAAGAACATACCAACTGACCACTAAATATGCAACCTTATTAGTCAACAGAAAAATGCAAACTAAAACCACAATTCTAAAGCATGATAAGCCCACTAGAATAGCGAAACTTACAAGGTCTGAGAATATCAACTGTCAATAAAGATGTAGAGCAACTGAACTTTTGCACCCTAGAAGGGAATATGTAAACTGGTAGCACCATTTTTTAAAACTGTTCAGCACAAGTAGTGCCTATGGTACATAGTCTATGATGCAGCAATCTCACTCCTGGGTATATTCCCAGCAACAACAACAAAAGTTATGTAAAACAAATTATTTAAAGAAATGAAAATAAAACGGAACTATCTCTGCTTTTCTGATTATGAAAAAAACATGTATGCATATATGCCCCAAAAGCCATGCACAAGAATGTTCTAGCAGTGTTTTCACAGTAGCTCCCAACTGGAAACAACCCACACAGTCATCAACAGCTGAAAGACAAATAAGTTACAGTACAGTAATATAATGCAGTATTTCACAGCCACGAGAATATCTGCACCAACATGGGTGAATCACACAAATGATGTCAAATTAACCATATACTAAAATAGGTATACTTGAGTTAACCAATGGGTAAAACTTTAAGTGTTGAGAGAAATCAGGAGGGAGGTTAGATTTGGGGAGGTGCAAAAAATAGTAGTTATGACATAAAGGACACAGTAATTTTGTGTTCCTTGACCTGTTTTCGTTTTAAATGAATGTGTTACTCTATGATAATTCACTGAGCACTTAAGATTTGTGTACATTTATACACATATCTTATACTTCAACAACAACTGGAAACATTTTCAAGGTCTTCACCAGTATATAAGCTACCTGCCCATTTTCTCACTATGCCACTGAAAAAAAAAAGTTTTAATTTTTTGGTTTTTAACTTTCACTTGCAACCAAGTGAATCTATTAGAACAGAGTTTGCCCTAAGTCCCAGTTAAGCCAGGATCAGATCACACAAACCCTAGATCAGATTTGATCACATTTAGCCAACAGGAATTATCCTGCATGGATTAACTGCCCAGTCCAATTTCCTTACTGACCTCAGCATTGTTCACTGTGTAATTTTAAGTAGTTTACTACACAGGCACACAAAGCTCCGAAGGTCCACACGAGTCTAGCAGGCTGTGGACTGACCACCTTAGTGACATACAAGCATTTCTTTTGACAGAGAGCTGTTTGGCTGAATGATCATTACTCATGTCCCAAGAGAGAAGTGACTATCCCTATACCAAGCACACATTTCCTTTCTCATTAGAAGTCACCCACTGACAATTCAACAAGGGGATTTCATCACTGACATTTTACGAATACAGGGAGGACCCCTCAAAGGATACTTGTGGTCAAAGCTGTACCACAGCCTGAATAGCCACGCACTCTCTTGCTTTGTCCGGTTTCCTCTGGCAGAATCTGGACCATCCTAAGAATAAACAAGAGGACAGATGTTTAATTTTAGAAAGGGAATGTGAGGAGAATAGTTTCTTAGCCATAATTTGTAGAGATTTTGAGCTCAGAGTCAATCAATTCATGCTACCAGTTTCAAAAGTATACTGGAAAGTAATATTTTAGAAGAGAATAAATCCAAAAGGGAATTCAATCCCCAAACTAAAAAGAATTGATTACATCTCCAGGCAGATCAACTCAACATATACAAAATTTCTTTGGGCATTCTTAATGTAATTTTCCTCAAAGTGCCTTTCATCAGATTAATCACCCTAAAGTAGTCTAGATTCTACAAGCCAAAAAAAAAAAAAAAGATCTATAGAAAATACTGAAGAAAGCTATAAACCAACTTCCCAGGCCCTCGGAAGCCACCACATATGGCTGAGTTTCTTCACCAACCAGCCAAGGACTCCTCCCCTCACCTTTGCCTCCCCCCCACCCACATCACCCAGACAGGAAGGAAAGGGGGGTGGGCAGGGGAAATTAATTAGAGAACCTTAAAGGTTATCAGTGTAAATTCAGCGCAAATAAAAAGTGCAGCTTTGTGAAGTAGATGGTGCCAGAGGCACAATCAGGTACAGTAACTTAGATGTGCAGAGTGGCCTTGGAGGAACAGGGAGGGACTGTGTAACAGGACTCGGATTTCATGCTGACCCAGAAAACAGTCAACTACTACTTCATGCAGAGGGGGGCTTGGGCTGCCAGTGCAGACCAGCTAGAAGCCCTTCATGCAGGCTCTGAAGGGCACAGGGCTGGGCAGGCTGCCCTAAGATGGGCAGGCCCCTGGGGGTTGCATTTTCAGTCCCTGGATTTCCATACAAAGGCTGCCCCAGGGAAAGATGGGACTGGCTCTCTCTCCCAAACCTGCATTCCCACCAGGTAGGTTCACACCCCCTGTTTAGCTCAGACTGTTCACTGAGCCTATCTTACCCCTATCTTGCCCACACCTTCTCCCACCCACAACACCTATTTGACTGAGAACAGTTTGTTTCCTGAGATTGTGCACAAGGTCAGCTTCTTTGAGAACAGTTTCAAAGGCAACAGAATCGCCTAAGAGGTATAGATGTGAACATCACAAGTTCTGACAACAGACTGCCTGGGTCCAAATCTAGCTCTGCTCCTATCTGGGTCCTTCTCTTGCTGTACGGCTCTGGGCAAGCTGCCTAAATTTTCTGTGCTTCATCGTCCTCATCTGTATAATGGAGATATTAAGAATTACCCATCTCAAAAGGGCATTAGGAGGTGTATTTTTTTCATTTAAAGCACATAGGATAGTGGCTGTTACATGGTAAGCACTAAACAAATACTGACTGTCATTATTATTAGCTATGTTAATTATGTCTGGCATATAATGAGAGCTTATATTATTATTTAGTTCATTTCCATTAATGGATGTATAATTTCAAGCATGTGCTTTAGGAGTATCTATCCCATTAATACCTAACACCTCTATCGTGTCACAGAATTATTTCTTTCTGGTGAGAACAACTCTAAGATCTCATAGGTTAGCAACTTTGTAGTTTACAATATGGCATTATTGACAATAATCACCACGTTGTGCATCAGATATCCAGAATTTGTCATCTGCTAGTTGTAAATGTGTACTCTTAAATATCTCCCCAACTCCCCCATGACCTATTTCCCTACCCCAGTCGGCCCCCGGTAACCCATCATACTCTGTTTTTATGAATTACCTGGAGATCTTAAAACTTTTTACTGACATTATTAATATGGAATCCCCTTTAAGAAAGTAAATACCACCAACTCTGCTTATCACCATTTTTTTGAAACTCTGATAACAACCTCTTCCGCCTTAGCTGAGTACCTACTGAGTGCCTGGCGCCATCCTAGCTGCTGGGAACACAAAGAGGAACAAGACCCTGCCATGACCCTCGAGGGACAATTTTTCAGAAGGGAGACAGACAGATGCATTCATTGAAACTTGTGTGATAAAGAGAAAGGAAGCAGATTAAAGAGTCGAGGAGTGGCAAAAGATCCTATTTTTTGAAATAGTTTTTGTAGAACTAATGAATACTGATTGCTGGGTACAGTAATAGTTCATTCCACTGTTATGGGTAAAAGACTTTTTTTTTTTTTTAAAAAAAGTTAAGTCATACTAATGTGAGCAGCTTCCTTTTCCCTTCCTGAAGCATGCAGTAAGCAAGATTTTTACATCTCAGGCCCCGGGAGTCTTGGGAAGTAGGTATGCAACATTACAAGGCAAAAGGGACTTTGCAGATGGGACTTGAAAAGTCTTGCAGATGGGCCCTTAAAAGTGGGTAAAGGAGAGAGAGTCAGAGAGATGGAAACAGACAGGAGAGATTCAAAGTGTGACAGAGACTCTACCCACTGCTGCTGGCTTTGAAGGTAGGGGCCATCAGCCAGGAAATGCAGGTGGCTTCTAGGAACTGAGCTTGGCTCCCAGCCAATGGCCAGTAAGTAAACAGGCCAATCCTCCAGTCACACTGACTTGGATTCTACCATCAATCTGAAAGAGCCAGGAAAGAACTTCTGCAGAGCTCAACCCTGCTAAGACTTTGAGCTCAGCCTTCGGAGACCTGAAGCAGGGAGCCCAGCAGAGCCCCCCAGACTTTGGAACTACTGCATGGTATGCAATGCTGCACTTTTTTAAGCTGTTACAATTCCTTTAAAAGCTGGCAATTTAAAAACTGGTGATTTCCTGCAGCAGCCATGAAAAACTAACAAAGAGCCAAAGAGTAAATCTATGATGCAACCTGACTTAGCCCTTTTCTAATGCCTCTGGGTGCTGGGACTATGATTTCTCAGAAGGGGTCAGAAGCAGGGAGTCAAGAGTTCCATGTTGCCTACACCAGGTCTTCTCAAACTGTGAAGTGGCCACCCTCCCCCGGACCCAGTTAAAGTGCAGATGCTGATTCGGGGAGGGGTGTCTAGGTGGAGCCTGAGAGTCTACATTTCCAACAGGCTCTGTGGTGACACACAGGCTGCTAGTGCAAGCAGTGCCCACACAGCAAGGGCAGCGCTGTGCCTAGTGGAGGGCTGGCAAGGATCTCCAAGATCTGCCTCTGCCACTCTCCACCCTCACCTTTCAGCATGTTGTCAACAAGCCCTTAAGGCCTGTTTGCAGATGCATTCCCAGAACCTGAAAGGATGGCTGAAAGTGAACAGGTGCTCACAAGTATTTGTCAGATGTTCATTAATGTTAATTTTTAATTTCTAAGAGAAGAGAGAATAGCAGAAAGGGAAACTGGGGGCCAAGGGAGGCAATGAGAGCAAAATCACCGTGGGGCGGGTGGTAGTGGTTTGCACAAAGGCACTTCGGTAACTGTGTGAAGTTAAAGGTTCAAGGGACTGGTATCAGATTTCAGGCTGGAGGGAAATTTCGAGGACCAAAAGAAATCCAATTTGCCCAGAAAGTTGTATCTGAATGCACTATGAACAGTAGATGTTTGCACACGTGCATGTGCACACACACACACGTTTCCCTCCATATTCCACTCATATCCTGCTTGTGACCTTGTCCCGCTGAGATAATAAAGCTGGAGTAAATGCAGATTCCTGCTCCTGGCTACCCCAAAGAGGCCTCATCCATGAGTGATCTTCTGGAAACTTCGGGAAGGAAGTGAATGCTGTGTCAGCATGTCCGGCCAACATGTGTCTCAGCAGTGCCTGGCATGAAAAGCCCCCCTTGAATGGGGTGGGGGGCTACTGCCTCCCCGGGCAGTAGCCTCCAGCTGGGCTTGTTTTTGTTTTGGTTGCAAAGCCACCAAGACCTCCCGAGAAACAAAGCAACTGAGTTTTTTCTTTGTTTTGTTTGAATAAGTCAAACTTGCCAGGTACATGAAGCTGAAGTCTGCCCACGATATTCTTGTGCTTCCCTCACATGAAGGCAAAAGGGGTAGCCAACAGCTCCTTTCCTTGGCCCACATTAGCTAATATGCGGTAGCTCCATAGCTATGAGTCTGTTTATAAGCCTGGGCTTCTAGAGCCGGTGAGGAAAATTGCCATTGCTATAAATCACTGCCTTCCCACAGAGTATCACTTGTCTGTTTTTAGGAAGATGATTTAGAAAATGAGGCAGAGAACTGCCCTTTCTCTTCCAACAGGGAACAAACATCTGGACTTTCCCCACCTCTCATTTCAGTTGCATGACAACGCTGACCGTGTGACCTGGATCCCTTTCAGGGGAAACTGCAAGAACCCAGGGTTTCACCCAAAAAACTGAGAAGCCCATTTGTTCTCTGTTTCACATGACCACAGAGTGCTCCCAGTGCTGCTGGGAGCGGCTCACTGGCGCTGGAGGGTCAGGCCAGAAGGATTTGGGGAAATAAAGTCCTTTCTGCACAGGCCATGAGTCACTTTAATGAAGTTGTCCTGGAGAACCAATCTTGAAGGTCACCTATTTTCCCAAGTTGAGCACAGTTCTTGAAGACATTCAGAATGCCTGAGGACCCTCTGCGTGACTGTGCAGCTGGGGAGGGAGGCGAAGGGGGAGTCGTGACAGCTCCAGCGAGGTGGCCAACAGGGTGCTGGCACATACGCAGCAAGCCAGGGGCCATGAGCAACACTGAACCGGGCTCCCCAGCCCCCCCGCGGCAGGTTTCTGAGGCTCACCCCACCCTGGGACAGGGGGCACTAGCTTTGCTGTCACCACGTAGACTAAATGCGCTGCTGGAACCCTGGGCGCTCAGGACTCAGCGCTTTGCAAACACTTCCATGGGAAACTGACAGCACAATTCCTGCCCAGTCTAGGGACGCGCCCGAGGCTCCACGTGCAGGTCTTCTGAGTGACACAGTAAGTCAGCCACATGAAACCATGCAAACCTTTGATGCATCCCCCTTTACTGATGCTTAAGTCCAGAGGCAGGAGTAACCGGAACCAGCACAGGTGTTGGAGGGGTTTGGTCCAGAACCACCAAGATGAAATCTATCCAAAACCCCCGCTTCAGCTGGAATGCGTCTGTTTTCTTCCCAGAGTAACCTTGACTGAATGCAGTTCTATGGCGGATGCTTTGGAATAGGGCCGTGGTACCGTAAGAGCCCTTCTTTTCATGCTGGGGAAGTAAAGCATCCACCATGCTTCCCACCCAGCTTTTCTCAGGGTGAGTTTCAAGATCTCCCAAGCAGTTATACTTAAATTGGCTTTTAGGTGTAGATTTCCTTAATACCTGTTCTTTAATGTCCTTAATCAAAGCTAGATTTAAATAGCAACTTTTCAAAAATAACTTCTGAGTGAAGCCACGTATTTCCAACTGGCACAAAGAACACCACTAAAGTGGGTGCGTTTCCAATGAAGTTCACCGAAAACTCCCCCAAAGGTCCAGATTCTCGGAGGTTGTGGTTTTGTGACCCTTAAGGGCATCACACCAGTGTTTTATCAGGCTGTGACCATCCTCAAAGAGAAAGAAATCAGATGTTCTACCCTTCCCCAGACTCTGCGTACCACAAGATTTGGGAGAGGTGTCATTCAGATGATCCCATGGAATCCAAAGTATGTACACTGGATTAAGTGCAATGATGACTGCAATTTAAAGCTGACTGGAAGAAAAAGACATACTTGACATGGCTTCAGGGGCAACAAGCACGTGGTCAGTAAAATACTACTGCCCCCTGCCCCACTGAAGCAGCAGCTGTCTATGGGGCACCCCCTGAGCCAGCCCTGCCACAGTGCAGGTAGTCAAAGCAAAACAAAATAGCTCTTAACTCCTAAAACCAAATAATGTATTAGTAACAAATTTCTGCTGCTATCATTAACTCCCCTTGCCTGCCCAGGAAATTCCAGTCTGGGAAGGAACAAAGCCTGGAGGCAGACTCATTCCACCAGCCCCACAGCATGGGTGACAGGCAACTTTAAAACAATGTCCCACTTGTTGACATTGTCCTACCTAGAGATTTGGTCTCAGTGCCTTCCCATTAAACCTGGTCTGAGCGGAGTAACTCACTGTAACCAACAGAGGCACAGACAGGATGCTTGGAGATTTCCCAGGTGAGATCTGAAAAGCTCCCACCTGGCTGCACGAACACTGGCTTTCGGAACCCTGAGCCATCATCTAAGAAGTCCAGTGGCCCACAGAGACGCCATCAGGCTTTCCAGTTGGTTGTCTTTGTTTTGTGTCCTCCCAGCCCAGGTGATCAACATGGGGGTTGTGGGCCTTCGATGATTCCAATCCTGTCTCAATATACTCCCAGCCTTCTCTATGGAATAAAAGCAAGCCACTCAAACTCTGCCCCTTCCAAACTGCTGACGTGGAGAATCTATAAGAAATTGCTACTCACTTCCCTCCATTCGAGGCAGTTTGTTATGCTACAGTAGGAACTGGGGCAGATGGCACAACCCTGGGCGACCCATGCTTCCCTCTACCCACCTGGTCTCCATCAGCAACAGCATCTCAAACCTGCTCCCACACGACATTCTGCCCCACCCCGACAGCACCCTCCCTCCCCGCATGGGCTCGGGGCTGTCCCTGCCACCACTGCCCTGCCCCAGCCTTAGTCTACGAGGCTCGCTGTGACCATCAGTGCCCCAGCAGCCGAGGGCTGCTGCTCTAGACTGTGGGTGTGAGGGAACTCAGAGAGCGGTGGAGGATGCCAGGTCCTGGAGGGACTGAGAACCCCCATGTCTCTCTTCTCTTAGAATTTCTAAGCCAGAGAGTCAGACCACACCCCTCTCCTGAGAGACTCCGAACCAGTCACAGTGAACCAGTCACCCATGTATCCAATAAATCCACCCTGCGGAGGGAGGGAGTCATGGACTCAGCTAAAACTCTCTGGCCCCTGACTCCCTTAATACGTTGCTGAAGCACATAGAGTTGGGTCAAATCCTGGCTTGAGCACTTTCTAATTATTTGATCTTAGATGACTCACTTAAGCTCTCAAACTTCAGCTTCTAATTTGTAAAATGGGGATAACAGTACCCACCTCATAAGCTGGCAGTTAAGATCACCATGAGGGAATCCATGTAAAGTGCCTGACTTACAGTAAATGCTCTGTGAATGTCAGCTATTTTACTCTCTTTCCTGGGAAGAAGCAGGACTTGTGACTTACCCCCTGTAAGACTTGAAAGCTGTCGTTGTTGGGTGGTGGGTCTTGATCTGGGTCAACACCAACTCTATACATCACCAGGGAGAAAGACAGGAGAAAAACAGAGTGTTAGCTTGGACTATGGCACCCACTCGGGCTCAGAGAAGCCCAGAGGCTGGCCATCTTCCCAAAGCAGGAGCAGTGGTTAGCTACAGAAGAGGAAAGGCTTTCATGCAAAGGTTGTGAGAAAGAGGTCGTAACCCACGTCCAATCCTGCGTGCGGGAGCAACAAATCCTGTGTGTTTACACTTTAGCGAGGTCTCTGAGGAGTGGTGCCAGCTGGAAACTGTCCATCTGTCTTCCTGCACCAGATGGCCCCTGTTATCAAAAGGTGGGTTCCACTGTACACATTTTCTTCTCTGCTGCTTCCTCACTCCTGCCCTGATCTGCTTTTATTTCCCTAGCTTTTTGTTATGACCTTTTTCATATATCCAGGGAACTGTTGAAAGAATTTATGATGAATCCCTGTATAACCACCTCCTGGATTCTACCACTAACCTTCTGCACTACATTAACTTTTTACTCTGCTGTCCCTATGTCTTCTCTCATTAGAGGAAATCTGAGAACTGACACAATTGAGATCAACAATGAAGACAGAGAAAGAAAGCAATGCAGCAAAATCCACCTATAACAAGTTCCATAAAAGCACTAGGTGGTCCCCTGATTTCATAACATACAACGGTTGCTCGATGCATCTTTTAATGCTTTGTCTCTGTACCTTTCTCATTCTGGGGCAGGTAACTTCGACATCGATGACATGGATATGATGACACAGGGAGAAAAGCATCTCAAACCTGCTCCCACATGACATTCTGCCCCACCCCGACAGCACCCTCCCTCCCCACATGGGCTCTGGGCTGTCCCTGCCACCACTGCCCTGCCTCAGCCTTAGTCTACGAGGCTCGCTGTGACCATCAGTGTCCCAGCAGCTGAGAAAACAAAGGGGTATCACAGGTGGGGAAGAAAGAGGGCAGGAGGGAATGCAGGGAGAAAACAAAGATGTCAGGACAATTCTCTACCATCCCTCCTTCCAGTGTTGGAAAGAATGAACAGTCTTGACAAGGGAGTAGCGTGATGTCTGGAAAACTCCCACCATCAACTTCTTTGACCCACTATTTTCTATAAATAACTTTTCCCTCAAAATATGCCTCCTTGAGTTATCTGTACAACTTATAAAGTCCAGCTGTGGTTAGAAGGAAGAAGCTATGTGACCCTGGGCCCTAGACGGCTAGGGTAGTATCACAAGGCATGTGTGGGACACAGCAGTAGTCCATAGTAGCCAAGGACTCATTATAACACTAAAAATCCCTGGCTCTGGGTGGGATTGGCCTCCACTCTCTGGGCATCTGACATATGATATGTGCAGCAACTGCACAGGTGCTGGAGAAATGCTGTCCTGGACATACAAGAAGTAAATCACTTAGTTGTGACCTTGCATTGCTTGCTGCTTGCCAAAAGACCCTACACCCTATCAAAACAAAACAAAACCAGGCAAAGGCTTTGATTGGGGATTCACTTCTTTTGGGCGACTCCCTGGAGCTCTGTCTCTTGCTCTGCTGTTTATTTGTTCAATAAACCCTGCTGCTTTTGTTTTCAATGAGTGTCTTGAATACTCACTGCACTCTTGAGTGTGGTGCTGAGGGAAATAGCAGACAGCCAGTGACTGTTTAAAAAAAGGTAAACTGAGAATACAGTGTCCAGCAGATCTGATTTGGGCTTGAGGATAGGTACCCAAGGCTCTCTCTCTCTCTCTCTCTCTTTTTACAGCTGTCAACTCAAGTTTTCCCTCCCCAGAGGTAATGATACACCAGTGGTCCAGGCAGAAATGACCTTGTTTCTGACTCCTTTTTGGAAAAATGGTGGTGGACTCTAATGGGTTGTTGGTACCCAAGGCTCTTGATACGAGATCATACCTGCGGTCCCACCCCAGGGGCCCAACTCCAATGAGCAGACAGCAGGAGCACAGGTCCGTGTGCACTGCATTCCCTCCTGGCTCTTTCTTCCCCACCTGTGATACCCACGTCATTTCCTAAGAAATGAGAGGGAATAGGTCATAGCACAAGGGCACACCCCTCTCTCAACGGCAACTGTACTCTGTCTTATTCCAGGTTTGTCAAGAACCAGTCTGTGGTGCCTGCCCCTGGAAAGTGGAGATAAAGAAGGAAAAAAACCAGTGATCCCAGATTGCTGAAAGTACAATTTAAAACCACAAAGCAGATTCCTTACCCCACAAATATTTAGTAAATGTCTCCTATGTCAGGCATTTTCCTGAACATTTAGTTAAACACACACACACACACACACACACACAAATATTTAATTGAATCAAAGATCCTTGGTGGGATCTTTGTAATAAACTAGATAGACTTCTATGTGTCTAAAGCTACTTCCAGGGAGAGGTTTCTGGGGCTGGATGCATATCCTCTCAACTGGACGTTATTTGAAAACCCTGAGCAACAAATCTCAGAGATCTTTAACAGGCAATCCACCCAACTCCAGAAGCCCAGAGCTGCCCACCAAAGTCACACCAGGGCCTCAGTGCACCGGAAGTATGCAAAGTGGTAGGGAGAGTCACATGCTGAATTCTGAACAGCTGGTCTTGAACGCTCACTGTTTTTAGAGTCCCTCAATGTATGTTACGTAGGAAAAGTCCTCTATATGCTGGTCCTCTCTGCAACAGCTAGGGATGCAGTGTTAGGCACAAGACCACCCATGCCAGATTAACCTAGATGCGACTCCCAGTGCAGCTGCAGAGAAGGTAGAGCACCCATAACTGCAGCACCTTTTAGACAGCCTCCCGTTACCCCAGGAGCCATGGCAGGCCTCAGCCTAGTCCCAGACAGGCTACTGTGGAGGCAGCAGCAAAGCTTATGCAATGTGAAGGGCAATAAGTGCAGCACAGCCAGCTCAGACATGCCACTAATATCTCTCCTTCCTACACTGTGGGTTTCGAGACAGTTGTATTAGCCTTCGTCTAGGGCTTCATGTCAGCAAAGATAAAACAAACTGACTTTTTCAGTCCAGATGAACTAGGAAGCCCATGGGTGGGAGAAAAGGTTTACAGCTGTGCTGTGCTACAATGATGAACGTCAAATGCTGTAATAGCTGCCAAATGGAATTTAGGCCTCTCCATCATTCTAAATAATCTCTATGAGCAGGGAAAAAAACTGTTCAACAAGAGCTAAAATAAATCCTGTTTAATAAGAACTGCTTACAAAGACTAGACTTTGGCCATTTTCATCAAACCCTGCCATGTCAGTAGAACACATCCTTCTCCCTGGGGACAACAGGCCAGACCAGAATTCAAAACAATAAAGCACAAAAATGTTGGAATAATTTGATAAACTCACAGAACCCCTGCCTCTCTAACCTCACTCCAACCCATGATGCTCAACATTTCATGTGGGAGCCCCGAGAGGAATTCGATGTCAACACTATCTAACACCCTGTCCACAGCGGCAGCAGTGCTCTAGACCGCCACCTGCCTTGCGCGGCAGCCCCGAGTCACAAGCTGTCACAAGGAGCATCAGGTGTGTGGCCAAGGACCTGAATTCTAAATTTCATTTAGTTTTCATTAATTAAAATGACAATTTGAAGAGCTACACGAGGCTAATGGTTGCCACATTGGACAAGGAAGAATCTAGTAAGTACTAATTCTAGTCCCATGTCTCTCTGTCGTAGCACTTTTTCTTCTCTACTAAAAAAGCAACTGCCTGCTATGTTTGGCCCTCTCAGTGAAAATACTCAAGATTCCTGCTAGAACCTTGTGAAGACGCAACCCCCAGCCCATAAATATTAAGTAAAATGTTGCTTAAACTGATTACTTAGATGATGGAGGGAGCCACACTTCCTCAGTTTATAAAGTAGATTTTAAAACCCTCTGAAAGTTGTTCTTTACAAATAAAAGTTGTAAACATGAAAAGAATGACAGAAAGAGAAACATCATCATTTTCTATTCCTAGTGTAATTATTTCAAGTAAGGATATCAGTGGCTGATGTTACAAATGGGTAAAAGGCTGTGGGAATCTGAGTACTCATAGGATATCAAAAGATCACTCTACAGATTACTTTTCAGTAATAGCAGAGAGAGCTGGGACCTAAAGTGATCAAAATTCACATCACTAATAAAAAGACAGTCTGACAGTATGTACCACCTGATACCATGCAGCAAGAAATCTACAACATCACCTTTACAGTACTTTTGGAAAAATGATTATTTTTTGTCAAGAGGAAAATAAATCAGAAAAAATCAGAATGTGGGAAATTCTTTAAGACAACTATCCTGAAGACTTAAAAATCAATGAAACCCTTTTTGTCATATAACACAAAACAATGGGGAGGATTGTTCTAGATTTTAAATGGGATTCTAGGTTAAAAAAGAAAATGAAACAAACTGATTAGCTCCTTCTGGAATAAAAAAAAAATAAAGAAAACATATAAAT